GACGGCGAGCGCGCCAAGAGCTGCCTCAAGGCAGAGGAGGGCTGCGAGCCGGCCCTGCTGGGCGCCCGGCCGCGGGCCTGCGAGGCCAAGATGTGCTTCCAGCCGGGGCAGCAGCTGCTGGAGGCCAAACCGCGGATCTGGTCCCTGGCGCACACCGCCACCTCCCTCAACCAAGCCGAGTACCCCTCCTGCATGCTCAAGCGCCAAGGGGCAGCCCCCGCCGTCGCCGTCTCCGCCCCGCTCGGTGTCATCGACCGGCACCAGGACTCGCCGGTCACCAGCCTCAGGAACTGGGTGGACGGGGTGTTTCACGACCCCCTCTTCCGGCACAGTACTTTGAACCAAGCCTTGGGCAACACCACCGTTTCCTGGGCCACCACCAAAGGGGCCATCCTGGAAACGGGAGCCTTGGGACGCTCGGTGGGTAACGGCGCCAACGTGCTCAAGGGGCAGCTCTCAAACTTAGCCCACCAGGACTCCAACAAAGAATTTATCGCATTTCCCAAATCAGGAAGCAAAATGTTTTGTTCTTAACAGCCCACCGAGGGCAAAAGAACTTTCTTGAAGAGTCAGCTACACTGAAAAGAGACTGGCGAGAGTTTAAATTTAAATATAAAACTTTTTTTTCTTTTTAAGCAACATAGACAAGGATTTAAATTTCAGTTTGCTCGGTTTCACGGACAGACTTTACGCATTGCTGTTCTGAAGAATTTCTCCTGACTGCGACTTTAAGGGATCAATGTCGTGAAAGTTATTTAATTCCATGTCCAAAAGCACGTACTATAGTGTAGACCTACTTAAAAAAAAGTTTACATCCAAAAGTTTACAAACGAGAAATTTTAATTCAGATTTAAGTTAAGGCATGCCAACATTAGTTATAAAGACTTTTCGAAAGTTTTTCCTTCTAATTTCCTTGTTAGCATATAATTCACAAAAAGCACTTCTACTAAGTTTACACCTACTGCACAAATTTATCTTGACAGAGATATGTTAAAGGGTATGTTCACTCCAATAAATTGTCTGTTTCAGAGGTAACAGCGGTGGTGGCGTTTGGCATTGCGCAACCAGCGTATTTTAAGGTTTCAGAAAAGCCCAAGCGAAGCTGCCGTGGCCACCCGACGGGCTGCCAAGAGGCTGCCGGAGCGGGGAAGGCGGCCACGGCTGCAGCAGGGTCCCCGCGTTGTGCTCCGCCGTGCTGAGAGCGCCCGCGGCGCCTGGGACAGCGCAGGGTTATCGCTGCCTTTGTGAAAGTCCGACAGTTGTTGCCCGTGGAAAGGGGGACGGAAGGGAGAGGGAAATAGACGGAGCTCTGCGCCCTGTGAAACAGCGGCGGAGGGCTGGAGGGAGCCGCCGCCGGGGCTGCCCCCAAAGAGCGGCTCCCCGCCCGCGCGCCGAGCAATTGATTCACATGGAAAATCTGATCTTTTAAACAACCGTTTTAGCTCCCAGCTCCTCTGCCGGTACGGAGAATCGCTGATCCTCCATGAATATTTCAGCACTTCAGGACAGATGCTTTACCGTTTTGACATTAAATAGAGTGCAGCCAAGAAAGAGAGAGAAGAGAGGAGAGAGAGTGCTCTCGCAGTGTGAATCAGGAGCACTCGCAGCCAATTTGCCTTTTAGATAACAAGCGTTTAAAAGATTTTCCTTATTTCCTCGGAACGGGAAGAAACTTTCCGGTTCTCTGTACCAGGACAGAAGAACTGCTGGAAGAGGAGCTGCGAGGCAGCAGCGCAGACCGCGTCTGGCCTAAACGCCGGCGCTGCAGAGCTTGGCGCTGCTGGGACCGAGCTGCCACAGGGCAAGAAGAGCCTTTCTTTCCTCCTCGCCGACCTCGGCCCCAGTCCAGTTCTCCAGCAGCCCCTCCATAAATAAATAAATAAAAATACACCCACGGACGATATATATATATAGGCAACGACAAATGCAACGGAGAGAGTGCTCAACTGAAATATAACATACTCCAGTCTGCAAAGTTTCTAGCGAGACCTGTTAGTGCAAGGACCGCACATAGGAATCCGGGTGTGGAGATCAGATCAAGCCCTTCCCCTCTCCGCGAGCAGCCGTAATTGGATTGTATCCAGTCATATTCCCTGTCATTGTATTGACTTTCGCTCTCTTGGATGATATTATCGAGATCACTGAACCCCTCTGCTGATCTGGCTGTCAAAAGGCTCAGACAGGAGCCCCCGGCCTGGAAAACGTGCATCAGCCAAGATAATTTGAAGTGAAATTTTCATTTTGACAGTAAACCCCTCAATTTCTAAAGGCTCTGCACCCGGAGAGCTCGGTGGCAGGGGGAGGCTTTACAGAAAGCCACGTCTTAAACTGAAAAGGGCAAAAGAACTCGAATTAGTTGTAATAGATAAAAGGGCAAAAATAAAGAGTCAAGGGTACTTGACAGTAATAGCGAAAGTGGAGTCTCCGGGGAGCCGCGATCTCAGCTAAAGGCTGGGCCGGCAGGAATTTTAATGCAGCCGGGGCGGCCGGTGAGCTTTGCCTCTGAAACCCTTTAAACAAAGCGAATTATCTTCGTCCAAACTAAGGAGGTGGGGAGGAAAGAGGTGAGGAAGTGGCAAGGGAGGAAAGGCGAGGGTTTGGGCTACCCTCAAACCATTGGTGGAGGCACGAAAGATAGGGGATAGAGGGGGGAAGCAGCTGCCTGATGTGGTGGTAGTTTAAGGGCAAATAAATGTGGGGAATTCTGTGCGCGTGCAGTGTGTGCAAGGAAAGGTTGGGCTTACATCAGGTTTTCTTGAGGGTTTCAATCTCCATGTAACCCAGGCTCTGTGCGGTGGAAGGGGGCTTCGTTTTTGTCCCCAGTACAGTAATAGCTGAATGCGCGTGTGTGCACGCGGGGGAGCCCTGGGGAGACAAATCCCGCAGGGAGAGGCGCGGGGCAGGGAGCAGGGCCTCGGAAGCGGCATCCCGGGCTGGCAGGGATGGACCCCCGCACAGGTACGGACAGCCCTCCCCGGCTGCAAGGAGAGGGCACGTCTGCCGAGGAGCCCAAGAACCCGAGGTGCCCCGAGCGGAGGGGAGTCCCGAGCCCCTCCACGCCGCCCGGGGGAGGGCGTTGAAGCCGCCCGCAGCTCCCAGCCCCCGCTCACGGCACCGGCTCTCACGGTGACTTGGGAGGACACCCGCCCCCACCCCCCGCTCTCATTCCGTTCCCCTGCCCCCGAATTTAAAGTGGGTAAAATACAGACACACTGAAATATCACAAGCTGTAACAATATGGGACCAAGTCTTCACTTTTTTATTTTATATCATTGTAAAGTAAGTTTTAGCAAGTTCGTGTCTTAAACCCAGATCCCAATGGACTACAGGACTAGCTCTATATTAAATCCTCTAGATATGCATGTGTGAGCGCGCGCCTGTGTGCCAAAACATTATCTATACGGAGATGAGGCTGTATAAATTATGGGGGAGAGAGGGTAGTTTCTTGCTTTGGTACAAGAACCTTGCCTATAGATCAGCAGTCAAATACAGTGATCTTTCAAGAGATTACTTTTCTAATGTATGAACAGAAGAATGTGAAAAAATAATTTTGCCATTTGATTCAATAATAACACAAGTCAAACATCAGGTTCGACAGCCTAGAGGAGGCTACGGGGCTGAAAGGAAGAGCTACACAGCTCGCATGGCTGTGCAAAACAGGAATATAAAGGGAGAATGAGAAAGGAAGAGGGGAGAAAGGAAAAAAAATCATAGAGAAACGGCTTGAAACTGAGAGACTCTAAATCATTCAGCCATGGCAAATTCAAACACACAAAGGAGGGGATGCTAAATTAACAGTGCTTTTTACATAGAGCCCAAATAAAACTGTAATCAGCGACGCGTTACTTTTCATTAAGCGAGTTTGACAGCAGCATATTCAGCCTCGACAAGGGAACAGGAGCGAAGAAATATACGGCTCTCCCAGCCCGAGTCATAAGATAATTCCTTAAGCTCCATTAACAACTCTTAGCCGCAGGAAATGGGCTCCCTGAAAACATCTCCAAATCTAAAAGCTTTATCGACCTCTCAAACCTCTGCTGATGGTTCTATTTTTTTTTTAACTTAGAGGCGAGACGTCCAGCAAGGTAATAGACTTTGACACAACACCTTCTTAACTAGAGAGAGAGAGGCTGGGAAAACGAGACCTTAAATGATATTTAAAAGGCAGCCAATTAAGATTTAAAATGATTGTCTCCTGAGATTACGCATGCGATTTATGTCATCTACTTTTTTTTTTTTCCTCCTCCCCAGGCATGCATACAAAATTGCAATGGGGCATATTGTCTGTTCCTTAAATAACAATAATATAATAATAATAACCATCTACAGAAGAAGAAAGGAAGAAAGGAAGAAAGATTAGCAATTAACAACCTGTAACTATCTCTCACAATTGTAAAGGTTAATTTAGGAAAAGCCTGGTGTTTAGGTAACCTGATTAAAGGGCACCTTGCATCAGGCAGTTTGTATATAGGTACCTAATTAACAGACAGATAAACTGATATGCCCATTTTCTATTAACATTTAGAAGCACAATTCTTTTTTAACCTGAGTTGATACCTGATATTAAAGACATCACAGTCACAGAACCCAGTGTACCAGCTCCTACCCATCAGCCGCATAAGCAGAGGTAGAAGTCCAAGAAGACTTTGTCTTGGCAGGAGTTTGGACATTAAGTATTTTAAAAATATAAAGGTTCAGAAGGATCCTCTGACTTACTAGAGTCTTTTTGATATGCATTTACCTTTTTCATTTAGATCTGACCTTCAAATAATACCAAGGTTTTGGGTGAGAAAGTGTATTCATTTAAATGCCAAACACCTTGTTCATGTTGCACCATTTCATGCAGAAATTCTGGAAAATACAGGAAAATATGGTAATTACTTGATTCTCTGGAGAACTGGGAAGTTCCAACAAGTGTGATATACAGATGAAAGGGGAGAAAACAAATCATTCGCATACCGTGTTTAGGCCAAAGTGTAGTAGTGGCTATAAGAGATGGAAGCAGGTTCCACGGTTCTTGTGTCATTGGTATGTGTGAACAACCATAAGATCTATCTTTGTACGTGTAAAACTGAAGATCTGAGAGAAGCTAATGGTTAAATGCTACGCTTTTGTTTTTCTGATGAAAAGTGCAACACTTGTGCTGCAGAAAGGTATCACTATGCCCCTTGGGATACAGCAACTACAGTCCCACACACTACTACTCTTCCTCTTAAAGAAGACACCATTTTTTATATATTATAAAATAGCTAGTGGTCAAAACACAGATCCTGGATGTATGACATCTGGCATTAATTCCCTCTTTGTATGAGGATGTTTTAACCCGCATTTATCTTCAAAGAGACTGTGAGGTACTTGTGGGAGGTGTTCCCTCCACACTCCTCCTAAAATTGCATCACTCCGCAGAAAATAATTCCGGATTTATGGGTCTCCCAAAAGGCACAAAGAGGCTCTTCATGGGCTAGTGGGGAAGGTCTGGACTCTAGGGGCCACAGACTCTACATCCTACCCTATAGACTCTAGACTATTTCTGTATTTATGTTAAATGGTAACTTGATTCCTCGCACCAGTGAACTTCTTGACAACAATAGTTCAATAGATTAGTAATTCACCGGGATTAGTTGAGTGATTGG